AGAGGTAATTCATATTCTAAAGTTATAGATATTATAAAAAATAGACTGAACACTGGAATGTTGTTTACTTTGCACTGACATGTATACCTAATGTCAATAAAGACTACCCAGAGAGACTGGCACTTCTCCCTAGCAGTAACCTTTTGTAATCTGAAATGCCAGTGAAAATCTAGACATTGCACTTGTCAGGCATTAGCAAAAAAAACTAGTCATACATGAAAGTTGCTTGTGTAGAGCTATTATCAGTTTAGCACCAGCTGCATTCGGCAGTTTTCTGAACCACAGCATCGGTCTGTATGTAATCAAATCTAAGCATATTCAGAATAGTTTTGTTGGCAAAGAGGGGTAAGAGCTCTGTAGTACCATAGTACTGCATCTCCTAAAAAATGCAGTTGGTAGAAAGAAACAACTACTCAGTTCTTTTATCTAATTCGTGCACTTCTATATCCACTCAGTATAATGACGTGCATAATTTAATCTATTGTTCAAGAAATTTTTAGCTTCTTTTATAGAGCCAGCATATAGGGTATTAAAGCCAACTTTTTGCAAAGTGCTATGTCTTTGAATTCATCACTAATGGACATAGTCATTTGATCCTTGCAACTGAGAGCCCATATCAACATGAATATTTGCTATACTGGTTTTGCTCTTATCACTAAGGGTTATACAAGCAAAATGCTGCTGTTACTGGCAACAAAATGAGGGCAAGAGGATTCATATGTGGAATTTAGTAGGGCAGCATCTAATTAAACCCTTACTGGTAAACGTGTTTCATCAGCATTGAAGAGCTTCTCTATCTTGCATCCAAAGTCAGGTTTTTGAGTGGAATTATCTATAAAGGCAGTAAGAAAAGCTGTTTGGATACTATGGCACATCTGCCAACACTAGCCAACAACTGATTTTGGTTAGTAGAAAACTGGTGAGTTTTTTTGAACTTGCCTTCCGTTTCAGTATTCATTGCTACTGCCGTAATTAGTTATGAGCTTTCAGAGAAAAGCTCCATATCTGAGTAGTGAAGTGAATCATCTGCCACATGGACACAAATATATTTGCATTTTCCTTATCAGAAACTAAAAATTTTTACTGTTATCCTCAGATTGAGCAAGAACGGATTGACAAAATCTGGCCAAAGCTTCGTGTGCTTGCTCGCTCGTCTCCCACTGACAAACACACTTTGGTGAAAGGTAAGCAGAACCTTCATGCGAGCGTGCATAAAACAGCATTAAGCTTACCAAAGTATGCTTATCTTTGCTGCGTTTTGAACTGTTAAAACAGTATCTGATCTGTTGTTTTTAATGATGTATCAGTGTCATGTATGTTAACTCAAGCAACTTTTTTTTGGCAGCCAAGTTCCTTGTAATCTCTTATTTTCCCCATGGCTACGTCCTGGAGTAGAATGAGGCTCTCAATGGGAAGGGAAAACGTGTATTTGCTGTGCAGGGGAAAACGCTAATGAGAATTGACTTGCTCTTCATGCAAAACAGAAAGAGGATGAGTTTTCTCATCTTTGCATATGCCTATTCATGAAAAAAACAAGAACAAACTCATTTAGAGTAAATCACCATTGCCAAGTTTTTGTGCATCTGTTGTCAAACAATAAATAACTGTGAATTAGCATTCTAAGGCAAAAACTTTTCATGTCACAAAAGCAACCTTCTGAGATTACATGACTAGGTGTCCCTTTAGCATTAATTGCAAGGAGATAGGTATTTTAAGACGATTCCATTTTCCAATGGGTTTCTCTAATTCTGCAGTTGCGTTGCCTTCCTTTAAATTTCTGGATCTAATTTTAGAATCTGGTTTTGTCCTATAAAAACTGCACTGTACAAAGCATGTTTTCTTACCATGCCATCTGCAGAGGCAATCCTCCTGTAAAAGAGGAATATGTTTGCAGTGTTCATTATAGAGCCACATTCAAATCTGTAACCCACACTTGTTGTTGGCTTAATAATGTATTCTGTTGACCTTGAAGGTCACACTTAAAACTCAGTTTATTAAACTACAAAATTTATTATCAGGGATAGCATCTTTTCTGGCCATAAAAAGATGTTTTCAGAAAGTTCACATTAATTCAGATTTAGGTAAATCAGATTAAGTAGAATTAATAATTCAGATTATATAAATCCCCTGGGTGTACTCATTTGAATCATGCAAGATCATGCTCCTTTTCAGAGGGTTTTTCCCTTTTCCCTTAAAAGAAATCAATAAATAGCTGAAGAGAAATAGAGAACAAATGATTGATAAAATTTACAGCTTGTGAATTTTGAAAATCCAAAAATAATTTACTGCTACCAAATGCCTTATGTAACTAATGCTATTAAAGTTTTAGAATTGCAACAAGTTCAATGGCAGAACAACTAAGTATCTAATGAAGTTCAAGAGTGAGTCTGTGGAAATAATGAAATTTTTTGGTTTCTAATACTCTATAAAGGCCATTAAAAGTTACAAGAAACTATTTAAACGTTCACTAGTTTTGGCCCTGTTGTTAAAATGCTATATGTTTCTCAGACACTTGAGGGATCTAGAGGATTTTCTTCTCTTTGATGTGCTCTATTTGCTCTAGGGCAAAAACACACATCACAAAGTAAACTTTTTTTATATTTAATTTTTCATGGCATACAGCTGCTGGAGGGATTTTTTTTTTCTCTTTTGCATAGAACAATCCCACCCAGCAAAAGGATCCTTCTTATTTTGCATTTTTGTTTTCAGCAATGTTAAGAGACTAGAGAAAGGCACTATTCAGCATTTCAGGTTGGGTAGATAGTGTTCTCTCAAACATTTATGGTTTTGAAATAGATGTAGTTTTAGAACAATGTCAAATTGATTTACCATCATAAAGTGTTTCAGTAAAACTCAAATGTTTCACTTAAGTATCTCAAATCTAACTGAAAAAATGATTTCTTATCTTTAGGAAATCCACTGCAATTATTTCATAGCGTTTTACCTTAATTTGACATACAGCTTTAAAAGCCACTTAAACTGATGTGTTATTGTAGTGATATTGCTGATATATTTCATAGTTCTTAAAAACACTACATAACACTTATTTAAAACATGATCACTTTATCAATTGAGAACATAAACTAAATATTCGTTTTATTAGAGAAACTAGATTGGAATGATTATTTCATTAAAAATGAATATTCTTTTCTGTTGTGTGGCTGTTTTACCAAAAAGGACAAAGGGAACATTATCTTCTAGTAAAGATGGGAGTATTTAATATTGACCCTTATTACTAAGCATTTGAAATGTAATGGCATGGGGTGGTATTGTACTTCATTAGCATCTACTTTCGCCTTGTCGAGGATAAATATGTGTAAACATGTGTAGTTATACAAGATTAACTATCCTGCATCATTAACACCTGAACTGATGAAGATTTCATCTTCAACTGTTTTACTGTAGCCAAGTTTTCCCCATTCATTTCTCCTCTCAACCAATTTCTTACTGATATGACACTGAAAGTGTCTGTTCTAGTTATAATAAAGTGGTATTTATTATGCACTAAAAGGAACGTGAGACTTCACTTGATGCTTGTGATCTGAGTGATGGCTATAGAGAATTTCCATGTAAAAGAAATGCAAGAGACTTTGTTCATTAATAGTCTTTACACTTATATTTGGAATGGTTTTAATATTTATTTCATGTGAGGTGGAGATGTAAGATGTGTTTCCCCTCTAGTTGTGCATGTGATGCTGGTATCTTTTACAACAGGCTTGTGCAGCTAGTGCCCCTCTTTAAAACAACTATGCATAGCCGTTTAAAGAAAAAAGTAAAAGGACCTCTACTCTTAACAAAGTTGCCCTTCTCTGGAAAAAGTGATGCCTTGCAGAAGCTGCACTGCTATTCCCCTAATTCTAGATGTATTTCTGGATGTATTTCTAGCTGTTGACCAAAATTATTTTTAGCAGAGAAAATTTGTTGCCAGATACCTTAAGATGAGGGCACAGAGCAGTGAAATAACAAAGGCTATTTGTTCTGGGAAGAAGCTTTGCTGCAGTTCAGGAATTCCCTTGCTGTACCTTGCAGACTTGTTTTATTATAATATTGTATGGAAGCATTCAACCGGAGTCAAGTGTACTTTGAAGAATTGTCCTGGCACTTAGACATGATTAATTAATACCAAATTTTCATTTTAGTTGTTGAGAAGGAATGGAAAGGCCAATGAATGGCAAAGAACAGGGCATTATCTTCACGGGCAGTCTGTCAGGTCATAGTCTTATTCAAAGCTTCACTGATTGCTGAAGCAGTTCTTCTCTGTAGCTCAGGACTGTGAAGGGACAGCGTTTCCTAACAGAAAGATATCAAAGAAACAAAAGGAACCAAAACCAGAAAAGGAAACGGGGAGTTTGAGAACGGGAAATTGCTGGAAAGACGACAACCATACAGCAATGTGAAGAAGTGAGGAGGAAGAGGGGGAGGAATAGTTATGGTGAATCATCTGAATCCTAAATTATACTGTTCCATTTTAGAAATGAGGCCAACAAAGAAATGCAAGTTCCTGAAAGATCTTCTCTCTTCCTGTGAATAGCACTTAAGTCCATCTGTCCCATGTACTTGACCTATTTCTGATAGCACCATCAGTGTTTGCCTAGCTGGAGATGGGCGGCTGGGCTGCGGCTGGAACGAGAGAATTTCATCTCTGCCTTTCCATGGCTGTCGATTACACAACTTTGTGCTCTGAAGGGTGTTTTTGCTTATCACAGCTGCCCAGTTTGCTGTGATAGAAAAAGATGACAACTAAACCTTGTAAAAGACTGCTAAAGCTTATAAATGACTCAGGAGCAGCCAGCAATTGGCTGATGCACAGCAGTGGGGTAACATGCTCACTGGCACGAGGCTGCTGTACCTCCCCGTTAGGAGGTCATTTGCTTGAGCCCCCTGATCTTTCTCTGGGCTCTGTTCCCACTTGGGATCCAACTGAAAGAGGTTCAATGCAAGCATGAAGTACAGGAAGAGGGACTGATTTTTCAAACCTCCTGCTCTTTAACTCTCTGGAGCTGTTAATAGCATTATGCATCACAGTTTTAAGTTATTTCTACAGAAGCTTACAGTATTAATTTAACACCACTGAGTGAATTAATATCAAGAAGGGAAGACAAATATAAGTACTTTAAATGGGAGTGCAGCGGATGTTCCTGCTTGTTCAGTAATAGCAAAAAACTATGAAGCTCTAAATATTGAAGACATTATCAGAATAATATGCAATTTATGAGCAGTCATGCTCCCACAATGGGAAGTCGTCTTTTTTTTCTTTCTGATTTTCCTAACACTGAAAAAAACACAAATTTGCAGGCTCTGTACTGCTTTGCAATCTTTGGGTCCCTGGTAAACCTGAACTTTGCTAAGTTCAGGTTTACTCTCTAATTTGCAATTTTCTATTCCTACATAGTTATCTGATATGAGAGTTACTTTTTCCAAAGCAGAAAGCAAGCTTTTTAGACTGAATAAGGTAATTGTTTTTTAGAAGATTCAACTTCATGGAAAAAAAAGAAAATTGTTGGGCAGAAGAATGGCAAAATTCCTGTTCCAAAGTTGCTAATAACGAGAGCTGTTCTGTCTTGGACAAAAAGAGTGTGTTCCTACATGCAGCTGCCGAGCGGACTGACATGGGAAACAAATATGGAGAACAGTTTCCATCTAACTTGAGCTTCTTCTGTGACCTTAGATATGCTATTTATGCATTATTTTCCCCATCTCCATAGGTAGAAAATACTTTGTTTTGGGCTAGTTGGATAAAATTTGATTGTATGAAGTGTATTAATTCTGAGAAAGAACTAGAAATTATTATGATTGTTGTATTAAAATGTGTGTAAACTCCAGAATTTAAAGGATCTTTGTAATCCTTGTTTGGCAGGATTGGACATGCTTCTATTAAAATGCTAATTTGGCTTCAGCTAAATAAAATTCATCAATACCATTTGTTACTTTAGATTAAACTGGTTCCTGGAAGACACTCCAGTGGAGCAGATACTACAGTTAAGACACGTTAGGAAAGTTTTGAGCATTATCTGAAGTCTTCAACAAAATATTTATGTTGATGTTTAATCAGAGTTGCACTGAAATGGGTCATCTTGGACACAAAATTTACATAGTAGAAATCTTCAAGAACATCATGAGATGCTCTCATTACTTCTGAAGTCTATGCAAGTTTTGTTGATGTTTTAATGTTGCAGGATCAAATCTTTCCATAGGAATTCCACTAATGATGTCTAGTAGCATACGTTAGTGATGACACTGCTTATTTTCCTTATGAATGAACTCTATTAATGCCCATAGAACTTATGCTGGCTATATTACACAGACCCTGCTTTTTTTTATAAGGAAGGCTTATGTTACTGATTATTTTATATGTATGTATGTATACAGATACATATATAAATTTTTTGCAGGTATTATTGACAGCACACAGGTGGAACAGAGGCAGGTTGTAGCTGTGACTGGTGATGGGACCAATGATGGACCAGCACTTAAAAAAGCTGATGTTGGCTTTGCAATGGTATAGTCTTAAGCACATTTCTTGATGTTTGTGTCACTAGAAACTTGTCATATCATGTTTGCCACAATGGAGCTTTTTCATCGATTAAATGTTGAGAGAGTTATTTACTTATTATTTGATTAGTGAGGCAATAATTTGGAGGAGGATGGATTATGTTGCTTCAGAATCCTTTACAGTGACAACCACTGAGGTCTTATTTTGATATTTTTCAATATTTTAGCTAAGGTAATTTCTGAATACATGTGTAATTTTATACCAGTTTAGAAAAGTGAACTCAGTGTTCATTACAGTTGAGTACTGTTTTGCTTTGGTAAAATCTGTCACTGTATGTATAGATGCTAACTTCTCAACAGATTTTAGCTCTGAAGACGTATTAATAATCTGTAATGTATATTGAGATATGCAATTCTATTTTGCGTTAGCAGTGTTCTGTTAATGTGTACTAATAAACAAGATAGCAACAATAGCTTAAGCAGCTATGCAGTAGTCAGTAAACTGATAATGTACCAGTTGATCTCATCATATAAATTCCACTGCTTTCCATCACCTCCTTATCCTTTTTCAAAATAGTCTCAATTTACCAATTACCTAGCAAATATACAATGCAAAATATACTCAGCAGTCACTGTTTCTGTGCTGGGGAGTCTCTGTGTAACAGTAGTCTCTGAATGAGCAGACAGAAGTCTGTGCTCTGATTGTCTTTGTATTTTCCAGTAGGCAATTTTATTCACAAATACTTTTTTTCCAGGGTATTGCTGGTACAGATGTTGCAAAGGAAGCCTCAGATATTATCCTAACAGATGACAACTTCAGTAGCATTGTGAAAGCTGTAATGTGGGGCCGTAACGTCTATGACAGTATCTCCAAATTCCTGCAGTTCCAGCTCACTGTGAACATTGTGGCTGTGATTGTGGCTTTCACTGGAGCATGCATTACCCAGGTAAGGTTAACCTCAAGCAAATCCTCCCAGGCTACCTTTTCAGTGAAGCAGGTTTACATTTCTTACTTTGTAAGCAAAAAGCATGTTTTCTGAAGTCCTTCTGAAAATAGTGTATTTAAAATGAAGCCAATAAATAGGAAATACCTCCTGACAAAAGGGAGTGTCCTAATGCTTTTGTATCCTGGAAGGTAAACTGCATATAGGGCTTACTAATTTGGGTGCTGTCTCTGTACAACTCCCTGGCTTTAATTAAGTATTTTGGTCATGGTAGAGCCTGGGCTGAAAGGACAGAAAATGTCAGGTTGTGCGAGAAAGAAGAAGTTACATGTCTTTGACTTTTCCCTTCATGATTAAATGCATCTTTCTGAATGGTTTATGGAACAAGATTGTTATTTTTAAGATGAAAGGGCTGACAACAAAAGTAACCTTAATAGGGAAGTTTTTAGAGTGATGATAAAACAACTATTATGTTGCTTTAAGGTAAGTGCTTTTAATTTTAGGGCAAATAGCAAAATGATCAAATGGGACATACAACTGGACTTCAATCTCTTTCTCTCCTTCCAGATTAATCTCTGTTGCAATCCTGGTGAGCATGTAATGTATGTCTTTTGCAGAAGCTTACATGAAAACAATTGTTTCTGTCATATTACTACATTTTGATTAATAAAATTAAGTTCTCTCTGGTTCAGCAAGGAAACAGGGTGCACTTGGTGAAGCATGAGCTTTTTGTCCTTCACTAGAAAACAGCAAAACATGCTATTTTTAGTACTATCACCTGCCAACCCTAAAATAATGTGTATTTCAGGAAAAGCCTCAGGTGCAGCAGGAAAGGTGCTGTTACAAAACTCCTCTTTTGGCTGCAGTGCACGCTGTGGGAAAGCTGATGCTTGCGCATGCTGTGCATTGTACAGATGTAGGTAAATTCCATCCCATGCCCACCTGAGCAAAACAATGAATAAGTCATTAGCTGTGCTCAAGGGTAAACTTACATTGTAATCATGGAATTGCTACTTGAAACCAGAAACCCAGGTACCTTTACAACCATGACGTCAAATTTCTCCCAAGTCTTGACTGACATTTAGAGGCCGCATCTGTGCTGAGCGTGAAATCTGTCAGGCCGGAGCTTCAGCGAGCACCCTTGCAAGAGTTGAGCAAACACAGCTGCCATCATCTAGCTCCTCTGCGCTAAGCAAGCATGAGGCGAGAGAAAGACTATTTTAAAGCAATTCTTAGTGGTTGTAATATGCATGTTCATGCAGCATGTTCCCTTTCCTAATTCTGGACCTTCCTTTTTATTTGAATCATTCCATTTTCTTCTGAAAGGGTTTGGATCAGGCACAATGTGTGTGTACTTCTCCAGTGGGCTGTAAGAAAGCTCAAGACCGAGCCATCTCGAGTTCACCGTTACTGTTTATAGATTTTTATTGTGTATACCTCCTAGGATTTCTGCGTTTCTACCCAAACAGCATCTTATGCAATTACTTAGCATTGAAACCACAACTAAAATTAGAACTCCAGAGAGCAGCAGCTGATTTTCATTGTAGTCTTGTTTACTCTCAGCTGCCTGAGTGCTGATATATCTCAAGTTCTCCTTTCTGTCTCATTCAACAAGGATCTTGCCTTAAGAATGAACATTATTATGTTAGTCTTTGACTTAAAGTTTTTAGCCAGTGAAAGGGCATTATATTTGTTTGGCTTATAAACTGTACTAAAAATTTCACTTGGGAATATACTGTATGCTCTGGTTGCTATAAAAATAATACTAGTACAAAATGTATGAATGCCCTGAAAAATCTGGGGTGCAGCAGGCTGAGTACACACAATTAAGATATAATAGTCTGCAAAACTCTCCACAGATTTATAATAGTACTTTTGACTGAAACACTAAAGTACTTAATGAACAAATGGAGCTAAAATCCGGTTTCCAAAAAGCAACACAGCTTTCTGTGACCTTGAAAATGAATATAAAGATGATCTGCACTTGACTTTTACTTTGCTTTTTTTACACAGTCAATTTGGATTTTTTGACACAGAGAACATAATTTTATTCTACAGTTACTGTTTAGGTTAATGTTGTAATAGATTACCCTTTCTGTGATATTTTATCGTAACTAGAAAATGATGACCTCTAATTAGGTTGTAGCATTTCTTTCATGTTGCCTAATGTCAGTGCTCTCAAAACATTTGTCCTGGAATTCAGAACTTGCATACTGTGATGTTTTGAACATAAAATATTATTTTTATTTTATTATTCCATTTTTGGTGTTTCTTCTCTTTAGGCTTGAAGATACACAGACAAGAAAATATTGTTTTCGGTATTTTTTCTAATATGGACTGTAACTAAATAGACTTAATTTCATTCAGTATTGATCCTGCAGTTACATCTGTGTATGCCTAAATAGGTGTATACAGTCATATCTCTACAAAGGTTCTAGTGAAATCAGTGCAGTTCTATATTAATTCAAGTGTCCCTAACTTTTATTTATCTACCTGATGCCTAATTCAGCAAGGTGCTGCTAGCAAAAAAATTATCCACCACATTTCTATTATGTCCTGGTTTGCCAGTGCAATCTCTGCTATGTGTGTAGAGTGTATATGATGCTACATCTACTTTAATATTATGTAGCAATTATAAAACTCTGGCAGTGGATCATTAAAGAATCTAGTATAGAGAAGGCCAAACAGGAGCACTGCAGACTTTTTTTTTTTTTGGCTATTCTGTGGCATGGGTCATAAAATGAAGTCATATTCAAAGTGACATTGGAATTAGAGAATTAGTCCTGTGTATTAATGATCTTGGGGAGACTGCACTCAAAACTAAGCTGTCACTTTCAGAAATCTTGCTTACATTGGTTCCCTTTTTCTTCTGCTTTTGGCAACTCAATATACAAGCCAAAAATTCTTATTTTTTGACTGATAATGAGCTTCTGCATTGTGGCTTATATGAAGCATCAAAGAAGATGCTTTTCAGCAGCCTGTGACTGCCCAGGTGCTCTTAATTGTGCAGCCATCACACTCACACATCAAGGCCATTAGTTCTGTTTGTCTCATGTTTGTGCAGCTTGTGTGACACACTGTAGCTGAACTGTACTAATTAACCTTGCCTTTGAAATAATCTAATAAATTTACCGTTCTATATTGTCCGGTGCATGCCTTTAAAATGGTGAGGATGTGGTGATCTTGGCCAGTTGGACATTAATTTTCGTTTCTCTTTAGCAAGCATTACTTCAGGTTAAATCAACAGATTTCTTTTTGCAGTAGATGAAGGAAGTACAGATTGTTTTTTTTTTATTCTGACTTCATTCATTGGATAACATGTAGTTACAGAGTCCTTGATTCATTTTGTATGGGTTCTTTTCCGGAGTTCTGCCTACAATTATAATGAATTTTATGAGTCAGTGTTCCTCATCTTCAAGTATCCTATGGAAATCCAGACATCCCTCACAAGACCAGAAAGTTCACCCTGTTTCCTTTCCCCAGCATATACACAGTGCCAAGAAAATACTGCGTCACTGTATTTGCAGCTGTTAAAAAAAATACTAGGATATTATAAAACATACAGTTCAGGCAAATGGAAGCAGCTCGATATGAGAACTATAAAGCTAGCAGATTTATTTCTGTGCCAAATTTAAAATCTCTATCTCCAGCTGTTGAAGCAATATAGCTATACAAAAAGGCTGCAGTAGAGTAAGAAAAAACAAATCCCATTTTTGAACATTTTATCTTCCAATTATTATTCTTGTATTTAGAAAAATGCTTAATGTTTTGGCACGCATGAGGAACTTAAAACAGTGACTCTACAGAGAATTATGTTTGGAAAAATAAATGTTAATTAGAAACACTCTTAACAGCAAGCTACTGCATGAATCACTTATTGTTTCCACAGAACCTGCTCAGAAAATGAGGATGATGTATTCCCTTCCATGTGTAAGGCAGTTATTTACATGGTTAGAAGTTACATGAAGTTATTGAAGTAGTTCCATGGTCTTACTGTAGAAACTGTATTTGACATATCCTGAAAAAACAGCACTAGCAAATTTGAAAAAGCCGTGCTTTAAAATTGAAGTACTTATTGTTCAGCTGTGTTTCTTGAAGACTAAGAGGTTTGGAAGCGGAATCGATGATGCTGGTCAGTTTGTAGACAGTATGATTTAGCAGCAGCTAAGTGAGGACTGAAATTTTTTTGTGTAAATTTACATGAAGTTGACTTACTAGAAGTGCTTATTTCTGTGAATCTCTGTGTGTGTTCCTTGACAAATGGGAGTAAAGAGGTAAGAGTAGAAATACCTATATATTCCGTTACAGCTTGTCAACTAAATCAAAATTAACAAGCTCTAAAATTTTTGAGGCTCTGTATGTCACAAAGGATTTGTAGTTTATTTCCAGCCTTCGGTGATTTGTACTTTTACGTGTTTCCAAGATGAAGTGTAATATCACTTGATTTAAGGGACATTTTCCTTTTACCTTTAGGCCAATGCTAACCTACTCCAAGGTCAAATGGAAAAGAATTTGACAAATAAGTCAAAGTTGGGTGGTTTGCAGTTTGAACAGCTTTTGTTCGTCCAGAAGTGAATGAAGTGCTACTCAGTGGCCAACCTGGAGTGAAAAAGAGCACTGAATTTGCATCACTGAATTTGAAAGTGACTAAACTCTGTAATGGAAGGCTAAGCTCCTTAGCCTGTATTTTCCTCAGTTTCTAAACTAATCAGAAATCAGATAGAGTTGCAGTGGAAATTTCATTTGACTGCCTGCACAGACTAATGTGTATTTAATGCTTTGGCTTTAGCTTAGAATGAGCTTTCACAGTTGACTGAGCAGTGTAGCAGTGCCAATAATAGATAATTATTAGAGGCACCATAGCCACCCAAGGTGATTGGCAGTGTGAAATGGTGAGAACATGCTGTTGCCAAAAACTGCCAATTACAGTTGTGTGATTTAGAGACTGAGAGAATTTACAGATTTAGAGACTATCATAATCGGACCTCTCATTATGTTAGGAATACGCTAGGCTCTGTTAGATACTTAAATTGATACACAGCAGACAAATTTATTTTCTTGACATGGAAGCACACAAAGCCACAAATTCAGCTTCTAGAATATCTCAAAAGTACAGAATGTTTCTGAAACCTTACTAACCAGGCAGGTAAAACAAGGCAATTCTCCAATAGAAAACTTGCTTTCCTTATCTCTCTATGTTGATCCAGTTTTCTGAGTCCTGTCAACAAATTGCTTTCAGTGCAAGCGCCCCTCTTGTTTGACTCATCAGTATTAATAATAACTAATGAGATCTCAAATTTGTGACCAAGTTGTGATCGTTTATGGTTTAGTTTTTCAGCCATCTCTAAAAATATGTACATTTCCTTTTTTGCAACTTCATAACAAATAGGTGAACTAAACTCTCAAAATAAGCCTATGCAATATGATCCATGACCAGGAGGTCCAGGATCTATTGAGGCCTAACCATCCTCTCTTCCCTGGTGCATGCAACCTGTAAGGCTTAAAAATAGCAGGCTACTTTTTACATTCCCTTTGCATAAGAAAAGAATGACCTTTTTAAAATCAAAGACATCAAAATATCTGTGAACCTAAGTTTAAAAAAAAAATCTGAAAAAAAAAAAGGCAAAGCACCCTTATCTCAAGGGAAATCCACCAGATACTGAACGACTTACCCTTGTTCTCTAGACTTTCTTTGGATACTGAATGGATACTTGCCCTCATTACTTGCAATTACATTAAAAATGCAGTTTTTCATTTTGGTCTTGATTTGGCTTGTATACTGGCTCATATACTTACTTGCCTCACTAGAGCATCATGATAAAATACAAAGCATAAAGAGTGCTCTGAACATCAAATTTCATATGGTGGAAATTGTTAATTCCAATTTTAAGAACTTGTGAATTATGAAAAGAAATGCTACTAAGTCCTTGAAAGGATGTACTACAGTTGCCCCAAAGAATTATGGACAGAGATCATTAGCCAAACCCTTCTACTAGTAGACAGTCGCCAGCATTTTCTCTTGAAATATGTGTTTTGCTCATTTCGTTTTGTTCTAAACATCCAAACATCTAATGTCCATTGTAACATATGACCACAGAATGTTTCCTTCTTGAATTAAGTGACGAAAGAGCTCCGTCTAGTGGTTGGCAATCTGGTTCAGATAGAAATAATCCTGACAAGTAGTAAAGATTCTTTTTCTTAATCTAGTGAACATTTTTTGTTCCACAGTTTCAAATATGTTATCCTATTTTAATGAGTGAAACAGTGCTTCTTACACAGTTAGTAAAATTTTTCTTCCAGGTGAATTATGTAGTTATCCAAATCAGTCTATCTGGTTATCTATTTGAGAATTCTAGCAAGACGCACAAAATAACACAGCATATTATAAAATGAACTATAACATGGTTAATCTTACGTTTTGTAAGATTTGTGCGGTTGTAAATATTCCTGATTGAAAAATAATGCCGTGAAATAATTTTTTTTTGCCCAGAGTGCGTGGCATTTTGTATTTCTTGGGTATTTCTTGCATAAGGAACACAAGACGGATTGTACTGGAACTGAGCAAAGGTCCATGTATTTCAGTATCCCGTCTTCTGCAGTGCATGGAGTTGCACAGTGGGATGCAAAGACAATAAATGCAAAAAAAAACAAACGATGTTTATCTTTCCAGGATATAGGTAATCTTCTAATATGTCTCCACAGGACTCTCCTCTAAAAGCTGTACAGATGTTGTGGGTCAATCTAATTATGGACACCTTTGCCTCGCTCGCTTTGGCCACCGAGCCCCCGACAGAAGCCCTGCTGCTACGAAAGCCATACGGCCGAAATAAACCCCTTATATCACGCACCATGATGAAGAACATTCTGGGCCATGCTGTTTATCAGCTTACTCTTATATTCACACTTCTTTTTGTTGGTAAGAAATTTTGTTAGGATTATTGCTTAGTTCAGAAGCAGCCTGGTCGCGAAGCCTGGCACACCGAATTCATTAAATGTAGCTGCTTAATGCACTTATTAAGTCTATTGTAGTTGAACAGCTAGCAAGACTGAGCTATACGGTGGGAACATTAAGGGAAATTTAACAGAGCTAATGGAAGATCAGTGGAAAGAAAAGGGGACAATTTACTCATTTCATATGTTCTTTGTGCTGTGAAGGGTCCACTCTGCATTTTTCTTACCTCCTATACAGAATGTAGGCTTGGGTTTCCACAATGTTTCTAAGGACATAACATAAAAGGTTATATTTTGACCAGAGTATTTAGTACTCCTTCTGTATTGATATTACAAAAATTAAAATCCATTTTACCACTTCCTGGAGATGCTCTAATCAGGGAACACAGTCTATAATCTATCAAGTATAATATGGAAATATAGGTAAGTAATCAATGCTACGTGATACAAATAAGATTCATTTTTCTGATATATAATAATTAGCATTAAATGAAAACAAGCATCCAGTATCTCATTAAGGCCTTACTAACAACAGATGCTTTGTATATGTTGTATCTGGTAGAGGGGAGGGAAGGATGTTTCTATTGTACGGAAGAGTAGGGGATTGCTGCTGTTTCACAATGAGAGAATTCACTTAAACAGCTGATAATTTTATCAACCAGATGCTGTTTTCTTGACATTGCTTTTGCTGTTAAACTGCATGTATTTTATTTCAGATTTTTTTTCACCTCTATACAGATTTCCATATAAGCTGTAAATGCCAATTTGTAGTTGTAGAAATCTTAGGTTTTTGATCTCATCTGTGAAAGTCTTTTTCTGCATCTTAGTAGGAGCTTATTTAGGATGCTCAAAGGAAGTGATGGCCTCTCTATGCTGCAGAGAGACTTGCCAAGTTTGGGAGAGAGATGATCTCGGATACCATGTTAAGACTGCAGTGTATTTTGAGAAGAATTTTTGAGTCTAGTAAAATTGTCACTTTTAGCTCCTATAAAACAAGCACAGAAGCTCTGACAATTCATGTAGTTATGACTTGTGGAGCAAAAAAAATGTTCTGAACTTTATGGGAAGTTTTAATGGCTTCTCATGAGTGCTAAGATATAGAATCCTTTATGCTGGGCCCCGGTGAAAAGAAAATGAGGTCTTTTCTTTCATTCCAATTGCTTCTGTATGTCTCTGGAAACCCCATGTAGTACTTGGAAGGTCACAGCCCACCCAATTTCCTGATAGTCCTAGGAAATAGAGTCTTTTCCCTTCTAAACTTTAAGGGACTTAACTGCATCTTCTGGAGACAGAAAACATTAAAATGCTTTTCCTCATTATCAATTATGTGACTCAGGTAAATTCTTGGCGCTAAGAAGACAACTCTGTTTTCTTTTTCCCAGTGACCTCTAAGCAGTTGGGTGATATTCTGAACTCAGTTTTTCAATAATTAAATTCCAAGTTAAAAAAAAGAAGATTCTATTTTGATCAATACTTCATCCTTTGTCATATGTTTCTGTAGAGACTAATACATCAAGTTCACGTTTCCTGTCCTATTATTTCTACAATGTGGCAATAAATATTTTACTTACATGTTTGAACACTGACCTTTGGTACCTTTGGGACATCAGAGACTCAGAAGCCATTGCCTCCTTCTGTCAAACTGTAGAGTAAATAATCTCAACCCTGGATGCAGATCTAGGCCTAGCAAACCTAAAGCTCATTATTTCTGTAAGGACTTGGAATATGCTTAGAAATAAAACCCAGATGTGGCCTTAGCCACTATTGTTGCATGACAGCACCATGTTCTGCTTTACTAATTAAGTGATTCACTGCAATGATAAGTGAGGTAGAGGTGTTCTCAGCGAACAAAGTACCATTTGGGTATTTTTGTGTGTTTGCGTTTGCCTACTGATTACAAACACAAGTAATTTTGTGTGTGTGTATATATACAAAATTATTACATCTATTTGCTTTCTTTCATTCTTTCCTTTATTGTTTGCGTGCATGGGAGTGTTTCCAATACCTTCCTAGTATATATAATTTGTATAATGTATAATAGTTTACAGATGTATTGAAAATCTGCTTTCTAAATACCTAACTTTTGTGGCTTCACATTGTGTTAATAATATATTAATGATATCAAAAGACTATAAACCAGTTCAAGAGCAAATGTGAAGAAAACATTTTTTTCAGAAATTGATATTATAATATTGTGAGATAACTGAAAATGTTTTTTTCTCTAATTTTTTACTTGCTTTCTTACGTACTTTCATATGTATAGAGGAATACTCTATTTAAGACAGTGCCTGTTTTAGTAACTGGGTGTTACCTGTAAACTTTGTAAGAAAATTAGTCCATCTAGTACAAGTATGTTTTCACATTTTACCACACTTTAACAATTAGTCATCATGAACTGTATTATATACCCTTTTTGTTGGTCAGCTCAAAATTGACAGTGATTCATGACAATGTGCTTTCAAAGCAAACAAACTGGATGATGAAAACCAAATCTAAAACAAGGAACATCTGTGTTTTTATCATTAACATGCTTGAATGATTACCAAGAATTCTAATATACTGGAATAGTTGATGGGTAAAAAAAACTATTGAAGAATGATTGCTTTTGACTTGTACAAAATCAGGTCAAAAGGTCTCTTGGTATAGCACAAAAAAATGACTTTTTAGCATAGTTACTAAAAATACTACTTAAAACTAATCAAGCAAATAGATAAAAGACATCCTTTGAGAAGCTATACTTAGGAACTCGAGATGCCTGCTGCTCACTACAGTTTCAAGTTTGGCCTGTATTAAAGTAAGCACGGAAAGAAAGCTGGTAAAGCAGAGCAAAGGGGAGGCAGTTAGTACGACAAACGAGGGTAATATAAATCTGATTAATTTACTGTTGTGGAAATCTTTACTTTTGTCTTCTATCTAGGTGAGAAAATGTTTAAGATTGACAGTGGGAGGAATGCACCACTTCACTCTCCTCCTTCAGAGCACTACACCATTATCTTCAACACCTTTGTCATGATGCAGCTTTTCAATGAAATCAACGCACGCAAAATCCATGGTGAAAGAAATGTCTTCGATGGCATCTTCAGAAATCCTATTTTTTGTACTATTGTACTGGGTACATTTGCTATTCAGGTAATCATTTGTAATCTACCCTATACTTAGTACTACTCAGCAATACCTTTCAGAAGTCCACTGCAGTCCTCACAATTGCTGAAAGTTGAACTATCTCTAAGGTGACATTATTGACCAGTTCTGGAATCAGACACTTCGCATGGAAGGAGAAAGATTTAGTTATCTGAACCTACATCACAGTGGTTCAAAACCAGAAAATGGAATCACTTAAAATACATGTGGGAGAAAGGATCCCAGGGAAGTCCTTTAGAAGTTGACAGCAGTGATTGTTCCAGGACAAACGGGTTCGCTAACAGGAACCACAATGCCTCTAGGAGATCGTCTCTGAATTTTGTTACCGTGCGAAGTGCTTCAGAATTTTTTTTTTTTTCAGTTCTAGACATAACAGTATTCAGCTATCTGGCTGAAAGAAAAGTGCCATGCAGCTGCTTCATAATTCTGAATCAGCTGCTGATTTTACCTGCTTCTGCTACCCCTGCTCCCCTAGTAGTTGAAGTAATAATTTCAGTTCATAGTCCAAATTGCAGTCCAGGTTTGCAGTCTGTCAATGAAGCAAGAA